GTTTCCTACACTTTCTTCATGATGTCTTTCCTCCAAAAATGAGCTTTGGGACTGTGGCTACAATTACTCTCACGAATCTATAAGGTTCACTTGAACTGCATTGCCTTTATTACAGTAATTATTGGCACTACAGTGCACTTAACTAATATTTAGGCCGTCCATTTCTTCCGCTTCTTGTGGGTAACTGTAAGATCCACATTTGCCACAAAGTGATCACAGAATTTTTATTATACACTTTTAATTTCTTTCAGTTCTATTTTATGCAAGTGCTTTAAAAGTATAGTCCTGAAGTCCTTATCAGGAACATTAAGTATTCTTCTCTAGATTGAACTCATTTAGAAAAAAAAAAATCTAAATCTTTTTCTATTTTTCTAAAATCTTTTTCTATTTAATTCACATACTTATATAACTAATGCTAAAGGGGGTTTGGAGTTTTTCTGGAAAATGGAGCAGATGAGGTAATATGGCATTGAAGATTAAGAAAACTGTCCTTTTTACAATCAGGTTCAAGGTAAAGTCCCCTGTAAAAATATAAAAAGTTGGTCTCAAATGTTTGTAGGTATACAAAGAGCAGACAAAGCAGCAATTTCCTCCAGAAAAACAAACAAACAAACCAAAAGCACATTTATTTCTGTACTGTTCTGTACTAGGTACACTGATATCAGCAGAAACTTGCCCAGCACTTTCCCTCAGGTGCATTCACGAACACCCTTCAGAACACCATTTGTGCAGCGTTTCGTCTTTTCAGGAGGTCAGTACATTTTGTCAAGTTAGGAGAGGAGGCACATTTTACCCCACCACATCCAAGCATGTACCCACATGGACCACGGCCACGTTTCGTACATACGGGAGGAGTTAAATATATGGCAGCCCTCAAAGCTCAAGTACGACTTCTCAAGGTCAGATCTCCCGAAACGGTGGATGAATCGAAGCACAAAGATTTATAGTTGTGGCATTTCGTTCATCACAAGAGGCTATTAAGGAAACTTGGTAACCATGGGTGAGAAGTAAACTCCTGACAGAACTGGGGGGGGAAAAAAGAAGTTGAGACATAAAACAAAGGGCAGAAATAAACAGCCAATTCTTATTAGGGGGTAAGATTAATAGGGGGGAGTGCCATAGGTCTTGGTATCAAGACCACTGTTCCATAAATTTCCTTAGGAACTGAAGCCATGAAAAAACAAGAGCCATGGGAAGAAAAAAAAGGCAGTAACAGCTGAGAACAAGAAGTGAAGGCTTGAATCTGCTGCCATTGAACTGAGAGGTAAAATCGCACTTGATCCCAGCCCCAGCAGGACTGGGTCTTTTTTCTGAGCACAGTTAAGTTTAAAAATGACTATGAGCAACTCTATGATTAATAATGAAGCGGCACATAACTGTATTATAGTAATGCATAATGGAAGGAAATATCAAGATACTTCTACTCAGCATTAAGGTTCAGATTACACATAGCTTTTTGAGGAGAAAAATGAGTTTATGCTTTTCTCCATGGAGAAAACCTCCCTCCTCATACAAGCATGTCATTAATTTTATACTTTGATAGGAGGGGATCAGGCGATGACTTTTTTTCTGTTTTAAAATCTCATCAAATTACTAATTATACTGAAACTTGAGAATTATACAGAAAAAAAAAATTTACAAGAAAACATTCTATGTATATTTGTGGTATCACCAACAAATTTTGTCAGGAAATCACATGCTATTTGGCCAAATCCCTGAGTTTCATGATTGCTATCCCCACATCCTAGCTCCTCAAGAAAAGAGAAGAAAAGAAAAGAAAAAAAAAACACAAAACTTTTCTGAAGGGAATCGAGAGAGCCAGAACAAGTCTTAAGAGATGGCTATAACTGAGGTTTTGGGGAACTTTTGTAGTAAACGAATGTAATTTTATTTGTTTTTAGAAAGTCACGTATGGAGCTTCCCCATTCGCAAAGTTTTAAAATGCACTGGTGTGCTTATTTTTAGTTGGAAAATAGACTAAAGCACTCAGAGAGGCACAGTGGCAAAGGAAATACTTTTTAGCACTAAGGAACTTTATCGTCAAGTCTCGCTCATGCCACAAAGCTTTCCAACAAGGAGCAATGTCATGCTGAACTCAACTATGCAGCACATACATAACCTTGAAAAAGTTTCCTAATATTTTAGTTACGGGAAGAAAAGTCCTCATGCTACTGAAGTATATCCAAATACATCAGAGGGTAACATTTTTACCCACCAAACTTCAAAAAAAGGAAAAATAAAAAAGAAGGAAGTGGCAACTTTCGAAGTGGAGGCTTCCTACATAGCCGTAGTAACCATGAACAATACAATCTGTATGAATTATTTTTCCAAAGCCCAAAGAGGACAATATTTTGCGTCCAACTTTGACAGGTGATCCATTTTCAAGAGTGCTGCTTTAGATAAGGACCAAGCAGCCTGTAGTTAAATCAAGACAATACAAGAATATGCAATTCCCTGCTACAGTACAGACTCACAGCAAAGTATGCAATAGTTGGAAACATGTAACTCCCAAGCAAAAGTGTAACTGTAACAACTTCAAAACTGCCATTTTATACCAGTTATTTGCCCTGTTTGGTTTTTTTTGTTTGTTTGTTTTGTTTTTTAAGGTAAACCTTGCAAATACAGAAAGAATTTATAGTTATCCCTTTAGCACAGTAAACATACCCATTTTCTAAGGCAATCTAAAGCCTTTATGAACTAGTGTACTCTCCTAGGCATACTTTTACACTTACATCAAGCATTAGCGCCAAAACAACAATTATTTTCAGACAATACTACTCTACTTTCTACTTGAAAGAAGCCTCCGTAATGAAAAATACCATTACCTGTAGACATGTCTGACGCTCCTGCATGTGAATAATACCGTCTAAAACAACTGTTGTAATTGGAACATAAGAAATATAAAGTTATCAACAGTTTTTAAAATCACGCAACAAGCAAGAAAGATGTAGATCATTTCTCTTTGTTAAATAAAATTTCAGCTATACAGCATATTTCTAGCACTAAGGTGGGCTGCCTTAAAATAATTGGTAGGTATCTGAGGAAAGACTTCTTGTTTTACCATTGCTAGCAGACTTGTCTTCTTCTGGATACAAAACAGATACAACACAGAACCTGAATACGCACGTCAGTAAATACGGAAATTTGGATGTACGGATTTTGGCACATTGCTCCAAGTAAACCTGTCAGACTGATCATAAATTTTGCACACTGTATAACCTGTGGTATACAAATCCATCATTCTCACTAGAGACTGTAAACTAACCAAAGAACACTCAACTTCCTTGTTCCTGTCTCCCCTTTTTGCATCAAACCATGAAAAACTTACCGCACTTCTCCTATACAAATTAAGAAGCCAAAGCAGCTGTGCCATAGAAACCCATTCTTAAAAAAGAAAACAAAAACAACACTTTTTAACATCTGAATCTTGAAGGGGAAAAGCAGGTATTGTATTTTTAATAGAATGCCATCCTGGACAGTTGTTGCACTCTCTCCTGAGTAAAGCACTCTGACCGACAACACGTTAAATGTTTCCCACTGCAGCTCTCAGTTGCTCTGTGAACGGGGTTTGACCAGCTTGGAAGTATCTTGCACATCTCTGTGGCCCGCCTTACGGTTGACATGACTGGATAGTTGCAACTACCTTAACGTATCATATTCATCTTCCTAAGAGCTTTGTAGAGAGATTATCTAGCAAGAGGGAACATACATGCTCGTTACCTCGAAGATGACTTACCACAGATAAGTTATGCCTGCATGCTTAGAAGGGTAAGACGATCAACTCAAATCCTGCAGAAAATGCCTTCTCATTGAGGAAAGTTCTTCTCTGGTTTACTGCTTAGTGATTTTTTCTGAGCCACAAGCATTAGTTAATTGTAGTGAGGTTCTAACAAAATTCTGCCATTAAGTTGTAAAAGTGTAGTAAGCGGGAACAGCTACCATAAAGATCCCATTGTGTTAGGCTGCAGATCTTGGTATTTATAGCTTGGCCACAAATGCAAGTGTGGTGAGTCTGGAGTTTATTTTTTTTGTTTGTTTTTAATCCGCAATGTTTTTGCAGTGCCTATCATGGATTTCTTAAAATTATCTGACTAGTACCTCCCTATTATAATGTCCTCAAAAAGCCGCAGAATACATAAGCAACACGTCAAATGTTACTCTATCAAGACAAGAACAGAAAAGGGAGGCCAAAGAACCAAATCCTGCTCTTTGTGACAACGCTGTATGTCAAGGGAAGCTCCTTGAAAGCCTACAACTGACAGAATTTATTGGGCCAGACATTTTCAAACTTAATTTTCTTTATATTCTATGTTGTTATCCATTTTATTGCATTTGAGTTCAGGCTGATAACGAACTACTCAGCACTTACTAATACAACCGAAGGACAGCAAGAATGTGATTTCGTAGTGAGTACAAAGCAGTCTTCCTGCCTGTTTGCTTTGTAGTCTGCTTCTCCCGATCACCTAAGTAATGGTCACAATCTCCAGCAGAAAAATGATGACCCTGTACGTACCCTGAAATACAGCTCAGCATACGCTGAAACGATGGATGTAAGACTGACTCCATTCTTTAAAAAGACCGCTTAAACTTTTCTTGTCTTTGTAAAAAATCTTTAAGTCAATTAAACTGTCAAAAAACGTCAGAGGTTAGTGAAAATAATTAAATGAAAGGAAGAAAACCTGTCCTTCTGAGCAACACAGGCCTCCTTTGCTCACTGTGTAGGGGCGGCTGCACGGAGTGTGCTCAGCAGGGACTGAGCCGACAGGTCCCGGCACTGGGTATGTGCAGGCCACGTATTTATGCATTATGTATTTACAGCGATTGCCCCGCAGCCAGTGACGCAGCGCTGGGACACAGAGCAGCGCCCGGCTCGCTTTGCCTTATGGCTTAGCCTGACTGTTGTGACCGGGCAGCTCCGGTGCTGCAGACACAAAACCTGACTGCCCCGGGCTGGCAGCTCGCTGGCTCTGCCCGGTGCCGCCCCCGCCGCCAGGACTCACCGAGGCCCAGCACGGGGATGCTGCGGCCGCTGCGCAGCGGCACTGCGGGGCCGCCGGGCCCCGAGCCCCCCCCGGCCGCCGCCGCCATGTCGGGCGCCGGCAGCCCGCGGACTACAACTCCCGGCAGCCTCCGCGGCCGCCCAGCGCCGCGCAGCGCGGTGGCAGGGAGGCAGGTGGGCCTCGGGGCCGCGGCGGGGAGGCCGCGCAGGGCGGGCGGGCGGTGACGGGGGCGGACGGGGTCCTGGCTCGCGGCCCTTTCTCTGCCCCGCGGCCGGCGGCGCTGCCGGGCGTGCCCCAGCCCCCCGCCATGCTGTACCTCATCGGGCTGGGACTGGGGGACGCCGAGGACATCACGGTGAAGGGCCTGGAGGCGGTGCGGCGGTGCGGCAGGGTGTACCTGGAGGCGTACACCTCCCTACTGCCCGCCGGCCGTGAGGCGCTGGTAGGTGGGCGCGGGGGGCGCGGAGGGGGGACGGGACACAAAATCCACAGACATCCTAACAGAATCGTAAAGGTTGGAAAACGCCCCCTAAATCATCGTGTCCAACCATCCCCCCACCACCAGTATCACCCATTAAGCCATGCTGCCCAAATTTGCTCAGTACTGTTCAGAATAAAAACATCCTTTCTGGTCTGTGCCCTGGCAATAAAAATTAAAAATAATAATAATAAAAAATCTAATAATGTCAAGAGCGTGTGAAATGAGTGGTGAAACTTATAGAGGCATATGTTCAGGATAGTCAGACAACATGTTTCTAGCATTGAGTACTAGGTTGAAGGCTGGACTAGGTGATCCTGGAGCTCTTCCAACCTGAAGGATTCTGTGATCCTTTTTGTGTTCTGATCCTGTGAAGCTTTATTACACATGCGAGGTTGATTCTGGAAATAAAGGCATTTAAAACATACAGAGAGTCCCAGTGATTAGCGAGCTGCTGAAGAAAAACAAAGGATGGAATCAAATACAAATTTACACATATATAAGGTAAATTATTTCTTAGAGAGGACTGAAAATGAAGGGTTAATGTGAAGTTATTCCTTAGATGTGGTTAGTTGCAATGTACAAAAGAAACATAAAAGCTATAAAGCTAGGCTATAGTGTAGCTAGTGTCATATTTGTGTCTGGTTTTATGTCAGTGTTATAAATATCCTGAGCAGTTCGGCTTTGACTCGGGACAGGGGATGCCTTAAATGGGATGGCTGGTTGAGTTCCTGTGCCCAGAGTCCACCTGGGTAGCTGCAGTGTGTGGGTGTGAGTGAGATGCTTTAGGAGCCACGTCAGTATTGGAATATTATGTTTGAAAGTAATTCTTGTCAGCTCATGAGCTGCCTAATGGGAAGCCCACGCGTTCTTGTGAGGGGAGGCAGGGCTCTAAAGACGTGGGTCAGGCAGCTGGGGGTGATAGTCAGGTTCTCCTTCCAGTGCCCGTTGTCCGCGTTTCCAAGTAAGCGTACTAAGAGAGATGGAAACACTCCCACTTGTCTTATTTTGGTGTTTCTTATTAATTTCAACTTCTAGGAAAAGTTTTATGGAAAAGAATTGATTTTGGCTGACCGAGAAATGGTGGAACAGGAAGCAGACAGCATCTTAAAGGACGCCGATGTTAGCGATGTCGCTTTTCTCGTTGTTGGCGATCCCTTTGGGTAAGATGAAGCAACATTTTAGTTATTGCTCAAGCTTGATCACTTTCTTCTTTCAAAAGGAAGGGTCTATCATCCATAGCTCTAACTCTTCATGAAGAAGCTGATTTTCAGACCAGAAGCACTTTTTATGTCTGTGTATATTTTTATTGCATACAAAATATACACGCAGTTGTCCATACTTCTGTCTTGCTTTGGAGTTTCCTCACCCAGGAATATATATCTGGGATATATAGATCCCCCTTGGGATATATAGATGTTTCCTTCAGCAGTCACAATCTTCATGCTAGCTTTTATAGAAAATATTTTGCTCCAGGTTTTATCTGCTAACAGAAAAGATTCTAGAATATCACATAGTAAAGAAATGTGCTATGGTTTGAGAAAACGTTCTTTTACTTGTGATTAGCAGTTTATAAATTGCAGCTTTAATTCTTAGCTGTTTTAGAAAGAATACTGACTTGATTGTACAGCACTTAGGCTTTGATATATGCTAGTCTTTAAAATCAGTTAAGTCATTAAAAATGTCTTCTCAGTTTGGTTTATTAAGCCTTTTGTTTCCACTTCTAATTCCTACTGAAAGGTACAGTCTTTTTCTATTACCAGAAGGATCTCCCTTCTGTCTTATCAGTCAGGCATCATCAATCTGTAATGTCAAGCCACATAGAAGAGCTTTTAGTCTCCAGCTGGTGATTCAAGATTTATTTGTTTTCACAGTGCTATGGGGCACAAGAAAAAATCAAATCACTGAGCACCCTATTTATCAGTGAAAAAATAGTTTATGAAAAAAAAAGAGCAGTGCACACCTGTCAAAAGTAGATAATTTATGTAAATACAGGTTGAAGGGAATTGGCAAGAGAATATTGTATTAAACTAGTTCTTAGGGACAGATGATGCTGTATTTCAGAAATAATTAATTATACTTTTAGTGCATATTAACATTAAAATTGGGATTCGTGTAGAGTGTAGAGCCACATTACCTGTACCCTTATGCTGTGATCAAGGGACTGATGTAAGTACACAACATAAATCCTCTACGTCTATTTAATTATAATTGCTACTTGTAAGCAGCATCTCCGTCTGCCTCAAGTATCAGTCATTTCGGCAATGAAATATTGCAGTTCTGATCAGCTATAACATACTCCATCACCGTAGAAGACTACCCTTTTTTAGAATGAGTTGCTGCTGTCTAAATGTTTGTGTTCTTAGTTCTTTGTATTGCAGTTAGAACTGCTCCTCTGCCTATGTAGAGCCCTGAGGATTTAGGGCTTTCAGAGGTTTCTTGGAAAGAATACTGAATGTTTCCATCCTAAGAGAAGCCCCATGAGAGTTGGGCAGAAGCTGTGTGACTGCAGCTGATCTTAGCGTTTCAAGTATGCTTGCCAGCAAGAAGGGCACTTGGCAGTCTTAGGAACCCTCAGGTGTAAGTGGTTAATGGTGAAGGTGATGGAACAAGTTGTGTCCATTTTAAAGTTCTCACTGGTGCTCACTGCAAGTGTTTCCTCTGCAGACATAGATAAAACCATGGACGTGCTAGCAGGAGTCTGACAATTTTAGTATTGTATTGGAAAGTCCACCTTCATCTAGCCTGTGCTAATATCTGTATTATTAGTACCCACAAAAAGTCTTAAACTCAGTATCGGTGACAGCAAACACACCGGTATAGTCTTGGGTGCAGAGGGCTGAATCCATCCAGCTTCTGCACGTATAGCTGAGAGCTCGCGAGGGCACTTCTGCTCTCAGCCACAGTCATTACGGACAGATCTACTGGGAGAAAAATCTGGTGGGAGCACGTTTCAGTGAATAAAGCCAGCTGATCCTTGCTCATTTGATTTCCTAAATTCAGATTCCTCTATTCATTTTTCCTTCAGTGAAATTGATTCTTTTTTTTTTTTTTTTGTAATGACTCATTCCACAGACTTAACAGCTGCTGCCACATTTGTGTTCCTGTCTGAAGCGCCTGATCTGCCATTGGTGCTGGTCAGACATGAAGTGTGGAAATTATCACACTGATAATGGGGGAAATTCTGTTAGAGCAACCGAACCAGGCCAGGGTGAAAGCAGTTTTCCTATTTAATTATTCCAATCAGCATATGCAAATTCTTTCTTTGGAATGGCCAGAAACATGTGGTACATCTTTGGGATGAGATGGCTAAAGTCATTGTTTCAATTTAGGCAGGGGTAGGTGCGTTTTCCTATTTCACATGGAAAATGGAGTGCTGAGCAGGTACGTAAACACATGGGCAAGCAAAACATTTAAAAACTGTCACAGTCCAAAAATAAGATTAGCTGGATCTATGTTTACCATCTCAGAAAGACTTTAGTCCTAATCTTATTATTTGTGAGCCCAGTGATTCTTGCTCCAGTCACTGTAAGGTGTTTTTTTTTGAGCATTTTGCACCTAAGAGTCAAATTTAGCTCAGTTCTAAACTTAACTTGATTTTTCTGAGTTACTTCAGAATAAACTTGAGCACTCAAGCCTAGGCATTGTTAGTTTGAGTCATTTGGCTTAAATGTTCATAGAAGTACATTTAGTGTAAGGGTGTTTTTTCCAAGTACTGAACGCAGTTAGTTTACCTCAGTCTGTTCCAAGTTCTTGTTCGAGAGTTGCTTTCCTAGCATTTCCTCGATGAGAGAAGGTCTGCCTGTGCAGTGAGTAAGGAAATGCTGGCATTTTGCTGGAGCCTATGCCAAACAGAGCTGAATTTCACAGCTCAACAGATGTCCAGCAGGCACCTGCAGAAGACAAAGGACAAATGGAACTTTCCTTTTCACGTAGTTGCCAAAGCTGCTTTAAAAAGGAACAATTGTGCTAGTGTTAGAGTTCTGATGATGCCAGAAAGAATGGTAGCACACTGAGGCTTTTGGTATTTTCAGCTGGGGAAGGCAGCGTGTGGAGACCTTACTGGGGATTTTACTTTCCTGTAGCAATTAGTCAAGTTGTTGTTGCCCTTTTGGCACCTACGCATTTCCCTATTTGTAAAGGATTTAATTTTACTTTCAAAGCAAACTATAGCGATAGCAATACTTGGTCACTGTATCTTTTCAGTCTTTAATCCCTTTCCCTTCTTACCACAGGGCCACGACGCACAGTGATTTAGTACTACGTGCAGTAAACTTGGGGATTCCGTACAGGGTCATTCACAATGCCTCCATAATGAATGCAGTAGGATGCTGTGGACTACAGGTAACATTTTTGTATATATGGTATTCCGCAAGTGCTAAACACAGAATTAGTGAGCTCCTCTGTTGCTGTAAGCAGTGCGTGTTGCAATCCAAAGCTTGAAGATCTGTAGCAATTGTACAGTTCTGTTGGCAGAATTTGTTAACGCTTCCTTTTCAGCATGTTCCATGTCAGCAGAAGTCCCTTTTGATGAGCCCATGTGTAAATTAATAGTAGTACTTTTCTCTGTTCTCTAACTTCCGTCTGCCTCAGAAAGCTTTGGTATTTAAGTTATTTTACAGATAAAGCTTTGCTTGTGTTGGCTTCCGTGCGTTACTGATGGTCACCTGATAAGTTTATTCTTAAATTAGGTTTTTAAACCCATTGTGGAGCATGCTGGTCTTGTAGTAAAAGGAATGTATGCGCAAGCCCAGCTGGGATTGTAACTAACTCCAAAATGTTGTATATGATGCATTCGTTCTCTCCCAGGTTGACCAGCCTTTGCTTTCTACTTTAACCAAAGGTCCCACTTTACCAGGACTATAAGAAAGCACAGGAATGTAAGTGTGCTACAGGGAACAGTTGAGCATTTGAATGAGTTTTCATCATTGCAGGAGGAAGCATTCCTTCCTAGCTGAACAGAACGAACACCGTTTTTTGTTTCAGTAAACTGATGCCTTCGGATTTACACTGGCAAACTTCACTAGCCATGTTTCTGTGCTGCCCAACAGCAGAAAACCTATTGCAATAAACTGGGTGTTATATCTGCGATCACCTCTGAATGGTTTAGAAATGTGAGAACCCTGTCTGATCTGACAGCGCAGCGACGCTGCAGTGACACCTATTCTGAGATCATGCTCATATTAAAGGCAATGCAGGATAGGATCATCACATTCTTCATAATTCTTCCTGTGAGCACTTTCTAAGTGACACCTGCCTATTGCTATAAGACTGGCAACATTATCTTTTAGGAAGGAAATAGGTTCCTTGATGTCTAAAATCTACGTACATAGCAGACAGATGGCAGCTATCGCATGACTGCGCTTACTGGGGCAGATAACATGAGAGCTAAGGCTGGGGCTCGCTCTTCCCCCTTTTGGCTTCACGGTGGTGCAAAGTTTGCTTCTGCAGTTGCGCTGTTGACAGGTAGCTTTTGCTACCCACTACCTTTCTACTCTTGTTTTTTTGCTCATTAGAAAAGAAGATGCAAGGCTCATACTCCCCAAAAGTACAGATGACTGAGTTTTGCTTCCTCCGTAACACCAGTTAGGCGTAGGAATGAAGACTATAGAGCTTCTAGGTTAATTGGAGAAAAAAAAAAGAGAGAAGAAAACTAAGTGGGAACATATTACAGTCGTATGTTTTTTCCCCTATACAGAGTTTTGGAGATTAGCTTACTATTTCCTTATCCCATACTAAAGGGAACAGAGCACAGAGGAAATGTGATGTTATTCACTCTGGCAATAGTCTCCTTTTCCGTTCTGGCTTGGGAGGGACTGCCTTCTCATAAGTCAACATTCCCGTTGTTGTAAAAGGCATTTTAGGAAATAGTGAGCATATTGTGTTACCGGACAGGCCTATAAGCAGCTATACATTTAACTCTTCATTGTACCTCAAAGGCATAAGCAGCAAGAGAGGGGTATCTTACAAAAAAAAAACAAAAAAAAAACATACAAAAAACAGCTGGTGGTTTAATTCCAGTTGTGGTGGAAGTTTATAATTTCTTTCAACAGTCTTTACTTCTTTATGTTCATGGTGATCTCCTGCCATCAATTTACTTCTGGAGTTAGCGTGTTTCAACTTGCAATGTTGCTGTCAAGTATAACAGGGATTCCTCTTTTGCTTCACCACAGAAAAGGCTTGGCTTTTTTTCTTGTTTTAATCTGATTGTGATACAAAACCTCTTTCTTTCTTACTAGAGAAAAACAGGAAACACCTTTATACGCTGTTCTGAAAGCCATGTGCATAGTGAGCTGTAACTGCTGATTAGGCCTGGGTAAAATGCAGCTACAGCCCAGTGTGCTCACAAAGGAGCATGTCGCTTGTCACCAGTGATGTTTCTGTGTAGCCAACAACATTCTGGCAGTTGTGCAGTTTTCCTGTACAATAGTTACCGAAGTAACTTACCTAAAGTAAGCTTTGTGATTCTGTATATCAGAAGTATTGTGCAGCAATCTCTGCGTATATGTAAACGTTATCTATGAATTTTAGGTAAGTTCAGAGCGTTAGTGGTGTTTTTCCACAAAGAGCATAAATATGTTTCTTGCCAACTTGTGATGGGTGAATGTATTTTTTCTAAAAAATAAAATAAAATAACAACAACCTGCCTTGCCCATGTAACTAACAAGTAGTGGAGCTGTTCTGAAGGCTGTACAGGCTAGGATTTTATTCTTATAAGTGAGACTCAGTAATTTAAGTAACTGAGCAAATAGGAAACAGAAGGTGAAGTGGGGAAAGACACAAGGAAAAGTGCCTCTGTGAACGCCTCTTAGCGTGTTCTGTGAAGGTTCGCCTCTCTTGCCTGGAATTTGACATGTGAGTACATTGGTCACTACGACTCCTGTTATAGTGGAGAATGAACGCCAGAGGAAGGAGTCACACAGTTGACTACGCACTAGGGGAGTCAGAGAGGTGGGACAGAAGTCTTCAAGAGAAGGCTGAAATTCTCAGAGGGCTTCTACTAGGTGGTAGCTAATGGGGCATGTCAGCTGTCCTTGTCAACGGCTGCACCCTAGTTCTGTAACTTTTAACAATTAGTATTTTAGGTAACTGGCTTACCTCTGATTTACCACTGCTCAGCTGCTCAATGGTCATCTTGATGCTGCCTCAGCCCTATCTGATGGGGATTCAGCATTGCAAGCTGAGAACAAAGGGAAGAGTCTAACCTGACTTCCATGGCTTTATCTATACCCACACTCAGTTTGTAGAGTAAGTGCTGGCTGCTAAGGCTTTTAGCCCTAGAATAAAGAGACAGATATATTCAAAAAAACAAAACAACAACAAAATTCTAATTTATGCCTTTTTCCTTCCTTCCTAATCTGTGTGACATCTGGATGAGTTTGAGAGGGGCACTGACTAGAATGGGCAGAACGGAGCTCTCAGGATAGAATTATTCTGACCCTGTTCTGATAGGTGTGTGTTTGAGGGGGCAGTATGGATGGTCAAGCACGTGAGGAAGATTCATCATTCTGAACTGGGACGCATGTGAAGGGATGATGCAGCTTGAAATGGCTTGAAAGAATGGTGTTACTATTAAAAAAAACAAACAAACAAATAAAAAACCCCAAAGAACTAAGGTGCAAAGCTGGAAGCAAGCCATGGGGATGAGACAAAAGACTAAGGTAAGGAGTTAGAAGAAAAGTACAGGAAAAGAAAAGACAGAAGAAGGAAGAAAGGGTTTTCTAAGAGATATGCTTGAAAATAGCTAGAATAGAATATGGTGAGCAGGTTCTAGCTTCAGCACACATACCAATCAGTTAATCCTGCTAGTTAGCTGAAATGGCATATAGCCCTTGTACTGCCCAAAATCTCTGCCTGACTGGAAAGCAGATCATTATCCTGCCCATGTTACCAAAACACAGTGAATGATCTGGACTGCCTCAAGAACATTAAGTGATGTGTTCTTAGTTTAACCTTAGCAATAAATAATAGTTTTATTTTTACACCTTTAAGGTCTTTGTGGAAGGAAGGAGTTACACCTCTTTCATTTGTAGAAAGAGCACCATTGTATTTTCTAGGTTTTCAGCTATCATCTTTTCAATTGGTTCCATTCATTTCTTCGTTTTAATAAAGAGGTATAGCTCCAGAGGAAGAGCCACTCATTTCTGGGAGAGTGGTGCTGCTAGTTTTGTAACCATTTATTTTATATTTTGGTGGGATAGTTAGTTAAAAACATGTCATAGCAGAGACCTGCCTTTCTTTTGAGCCATACCCACTTTCCACCTGAATAGCTTCGGAACAAACATCTGCAGGTCCCCTTGTCTCTTTCAGTGACTCATCTTCATGATTTTTTTTTGTTTGCAGTCCACTTAGTCCTTGCAACACAATTAACGCTGCAAAGTAGTTCTGCCTTTTAGCTGCTAGCTGTTCATTTAAACACAAAAGCAGTGCTTGCTGTGTTATCTTTGAGTCTCCGCTAAATAGGTGAGTAACCTTGCTGTGTTGAGTATTACTTGTAGATGGGGAGGCTGAAGGATACTGTCATAACTTGCCATGGTCATAGTCAAATAGAAAACCCGTAGTAGTTGCGGGAGCGGAACCGGAGTTCCACCTCCACCCTCTCTGTGCCTCTTAACCTTTCAAAAATACTCCTTGCTCTAATAGGAGGGGCTCTATGCAAATGTTTTTTTTTTATTCACTGACAGTTAAAATAAACTGTTTTCTACCACTAGTTCTTGTCTCTGACTGCCTGCCTCTGAGCCTTTTACAAGTTGGCATTGCTTCTCAAACCAACTACATGGTAAACCAGTGTTAGTTACACGAGCTTATTACTTGTATTTGCTGTGCAGCTTTGTGCCATTTGTCACCAGAAAATACAGCCCAGAAACACCCATTTACTCCCAACAGACTTTCGTCTCCATTTAGTTATCTTTGTCTCGGATGAGTAATACCAGTGAGTAGGGTGGGAAGGTTTGATATCGCTGGGAAGAGTCTAACAAGCTTACCAAAGATAAAGGGATGTTACCTTGGAGGGAAGATGCTGTCCTGTTCGGTTTGCTTGAAGTTTTGAAGTCTTTTGATAGGTGAATTTTGTTCTTCTTGTAGAGCAGCTATTGCTTAGGCACTGATACAGGAGACAGCTAAGAGGAAAATCATGTTCTTCCCTTTATCTGCTTTTTTGTGGTTACTCTCAGCTGCCTTCTGAAGACTGCAGTCATGTGGAGTGGGCTTCCACCAGCCAAACATCTTTCTCTTCACAGTCCCCTTGCTGGCATGTACTGAGGGGACTGGAGGTTCCTGGGACAGCCTGTGGGTAGCACAAGGAGCTGCAGCTCTGTGTGTGTTAACTGTAAAAACATTCCTCTTCACGTGAGCCTTCTCCTGGGATGGATTCAAAGTTGTTAAAAGTCCACAGCACTAAATAAGATGGCACAAACAGCCAGGCCTAGGCCTGTGGTTGTTTAATATGACCAACAGCAAACAAAAATGAAGCTTGTCTGATTCCTGCTACCTCTTTGTTGCTGATTGTCCTTCCTAGGCTGTTCTCTGGCAACAGTATATGATACATAGCACAGTGAGAACCTTTTAATATGCTGTGTATGGATAGTACGGAGGGTTGTTAACCACCTGTGGGGGATAAAGGGAAAAAGTCTGACTTGTTATGTTCCATTTTTGAGGATGAATGTTACCTGGCATCCCATCAAAACTCTTATGACAAGGGTGAACAAAACGTGCCTTAGATTTGCAGTGTAAATTCAGTGGGTTTTATCAAAAAGCCACCCGGGATGGTGCGAGATGCTATAGGCTCCAGATCCCACTGGGGAATAGTCTCTGGACGTGTCAGCGATGTGATCAGGCTGTGTGGTGTATTCATTTGCAGAGCACTCCTGTCCTGTGAAAACTATCTGCAGTATAACGTCTGAGTATCCTCACAGTCCTGTGGGGTTTGTGGGATTTCTGTGGGTTACATTTATGCTGAAAAATGTACTGACAAGACTCCCCTTTACCTTCCTCCCCTGTCATGTTTCCACTTGTGAAGCTGTTCTGAAGTTTTAGGAGAGGAGGTAGGCTGTTAAGTGAAGAATTGCTTTATCATTGCAGCTGATACAGCAGTAATTCTGGGAGAGATTCTACAAAAATAAATGTCTGCATTTGGAAATGTTTACTTCGTGGTTTCTCTGCAGCTGTTGTCCTACTGCCCTTTAATATCATCTTGCATCGTCTCTCCTGCTCGCTTTTAGAGGCGGTGGGGGAATCTTCCTTTTTTAATTTCCCTATTTAGTCTCAGCTTGTTTCTTCTTTTCATGCTCTGTATTTTTGTGGTGGTTATTGACATCAGTATTTTTAGTGAGGTCTGTCGATCTGGACAGCTACAAGTTGCTGATGTCCCTCAGATTGGTCATTACTGAAGTTGCTCGTTAGTTTCATTGAAATTCTAGTTGCAGGCAGACTATCCAAGCCGAGATCATGGCGCAGCACTTTTTCTTCCAGTTTATTCTGTGAAACAAATCACGATTTTCAATCAATTCTGCTTATACAAACAAATTAAGGAAGAAATATTGTTAATAGAAGGGTTAGAAATACCAATGGAAAGCAGACAGGCACTTCGGTACCAAAAGTTGTCTGATGTTCTTTCGTATTGTGTGTGTAAGCAAAAGGGAAAGTTCCAGCTTATTCTGAGCTGATGCAAATGTGAATTGAGCAGCTTTCTTCAGTGTTTAGTGAGAGGCAGAAAGCTCAGCAGACAGAGCCTGCAAAAGTTAAGCACACAAAGCTTTGCTTAAGCCAATTACTGCTTGAGCAGGGGGAGGGCTATTTCCAAAGACAGGTCGTTCAAAGTGAGCTTTTGAAATTCTTCTGTGAAGATTTTGAGCATTAGGGAGAAGGTAAAAACACCTCAGTTCCCAAGCTGAGAGCACCGAGTGCCTGTCCAGCCAGTTCACTGAGCCCCTTAGCAATTCTGGCACTCGTGTGCTTGAGCAGAATGTGGGCACTGTAACAAATCTGATGGTTTGTGCAAATGTGCTGCTGGAAATGTTTCAGCACGTACAGAACAACTGCTGCCCGCTCCGAAACCCCAGCTGTTTGATGTCGAGTGCAGCACGCAGAAGACTGCTGTGAAACTTCGTTTGCTGCTGCCCATCTTTAAAGCTGTGCCAGCAACCACACAACAGGATTGTTCCGCAGAAAATACAACACAGGGCTGTTGTTTGTTGTCAGATTGAACTTCTGAACAATCTCGAAGCATGATAACAACCCTTGGCTGTGTGATAATGCACGTGGGCTGACAAATGTGTGCCACAGTTGCTTGCCAGTGACAAACCTGCAACCTGGAAGTTTGGGCCCCTATTCCAAATCTTCCATGGTTTGTGGAAAGGGTCATTCTTACTGTCAGTGGGTTCTGGCTCTAGTGCCCAGTCACCTGCTGCGTCCCTGGCTGAGATCTGTGACTGCTGGGTCCTTAGGGTAACAGCGGCATTTTGGCTATTACTGCTCTCTCTGCAACAAGGCTTTTCTTTGAAGTCCAAGACTTTGTGCTAGATTTCCAGAGGTAAGAATTAGCACGCAGCACAAGAAGCTGTGTTAGGAACTGACTGACTCTGACAGGTACATGGATAGAAAGTTGAAAGTTTGTTCTGATACAATTACGTGTTGCTTCTTTAAAGTAATGCAGGCTTGCTCTAATGGAAGAACAGTACCTCTGTCTGCCTAAGTTTTACATGTCTGCAGAGATAAATGGTAGATGAGAAAGAAATTCGTGTGTCTATATAACTGTGTCTAAGAAAGGTAATTTGCTTTTTGTCGATAAAAGTGATGGAGAGTCCTTGTAATGATCAGTGGAAAAGAATATCTAAGAAAAATAACAATCGGAACAAATGTTCTAGGGCATAAAAGTTTCTATCCAACTTGTTTTTCATATCTGGCAGAGTAGTTTGAAAGATCTGATTCCCAATAAGACACTTGTCATTTATCCGTTTCTGCACATCCTTGTTTTTTGCAAAAAGGCAGAGGTGGAAGATTCTCTGCTTCAGGGCATCAGAATGCCAAAGGGATTAATTGAGGCTGCTTTCTGTGCTGAAGGAGGGCTGCTGCTTTCTGCAAAATGACTGCAGGGGCTTTCAGATGGCAGACAGCAAGCTGGCTTGCTAGGCTGGTGCTGCACATTTCAGCAGTTGTTGATGGCTGAGGGTGTACTGCCACCTCCCCAGTGAGATTTAAGGTTCACTTTAAGCCTTTAAGTTTTAGTTTTAAGCTTTTTACGTTTTTAAAACTTTAAGTTTAGCTTTTCTAGCTTCCCAGGTGCTCTAACAGCGAAGAGGAGAAACTCCTTTTTCCAATAGTTTTGCTTCACATTTGGTACAAAATAGAGAGAGCTTTAGCCACATAGACAAAACATAGCTTGTTTGTTTTTTGTTTTTTTTTTCCCTTATTTTCTTCCTGTAGAATACAACCTTGAAATAGTTCAAAAGGTACATCAGGAACAATACATTTAGTTCAACCTATATTTAGTTTACTGGAAGAACCTTTATGTTGTGAAATACGCACTGTGTGTTCTCGTTCCTGTGCCAGAATGAAATATTTAAAAGAGGAAATGTAAATGTTTTCAGTAATCTTCCAGGAATCTTTGAATAAAGGCTGTACATATCAGCAGAAATAGTTAAAATTTGAGCTCTTAGTCTCTTGGAGGCAAACAACTTTCTGCTTTGATTCAAATTCTGCTTTGCTCGATAGAGTAAGGGAGTTAAAACCACAACCTAATGCCACAATAGATTAAGTACGTATAGGGGAATCCCCAGATGGCACAAAGCTGCCAGAGCTACTTATATGTAGGGTCTTCTTTTCTGCTAACAGTGTACATGGTGCCTCCCGTAGTGGGCTGGAAAAAGCTGCTCTGCCTTCTGGGTTTAAACAAAGTGGGGAGGACAGTCTGTATGATGATGGTTTCTCTGGTAGGCTTGAGCAGGCAGAACATTGGCAAGCTGTAAAATCCATCTTGGTTGGCCCCATTCCAGAGCTGAATTGACCAAAATTGACGCATGCTTTTGCCCATTTTCAAGTTGTTTTATAAAAACTTTCAAGCCAAATTCTGCTTTAGGTTACATCTAATTTTCTGTTTTGCATCACTGGATATGACTGGCAAGAGCATTGCTTCAAATGCCTTCAGCAAGGTCAGGGATGAGTAAAGGCAGCGAGCACATTTACACAGAACCTGCTGGCAGTGTTCTTACCCTACGTGCATATAAACAATTCTGCACCTCTCTGCTTTAGGTACAATTTGTCTCTGTCTTCAGATCTCCATCTCAACTATCTCTTTAGACGGTAACTGCTTTTGCATGGCACAGCTTCTGTCTGTAGGAAGGTGCTGTTTTAATAGAAATCCTACCATGGCAGTAGAATCAAAGCTTAGGAAAACATTTTAAGTATTACAGCTTTACCAGAAGTTGCCTACCTTAACCAAAATAAGAAATAATAAATAAGAGTTTTGGTGCTAATCTTAGAGCTTTTGCCTCTAAGACAAATTTGCCTTCAGAATTAAGTAACAAAGAATAGAAGGTAGATTGAAAGTTATCATACATTGGAAAGGGAAATGCCAAGATAGGTAAAAATGTTACGGGTAGCTTATTAGTCAGTCTTTAACACGCTTTACTGCTTGGAGACTAAAAGAGCAACACGCCTATGTTACAAAGAAGAAAAAACAGTTCACTAATTACAGATTTTCTTAGAAAGAAGGGAGTGAAAAGGAATGCAGTAGAACTAATCAAGAGATAGAGTGAGAGATCTTGTTTATTTAATGCAATGTTTTGTTTTATTTATGAGAGACCAAACAAGTGTCTCATAGGAGCACTCCCAAAACTAACTTCTTCACTATGCTCAGGACTTCACAGTGTTGTCAATTTGTTGTTTTTATATTTTTTTTGTGTGCTGTACTACTAATAGCATTTTTGGAATTGACTGTGGATGTGTGTCATTGGATGTTTTTTGTTTTTACAGTTGTACAATTTTGGAGAGACGGTTTCTATAGTTTTCTGGACAGATACATGGAAGCCAGAAAGTTTTTTTGACAAGATCAAGAAGAACAGGCAGAACGGAATGCACACACTGTGCTTGCTTGGTAAGCAGCAGCTGTCCTGGTACCTTAGCTATCGTCATCACCAGGGGCCAGATACAATAGTGAAAGGCATGAGATGAAGTCTGTGATTAAACAGAGGTTAGATAACAGAGATCTTTAAAAATATACCAAAATTGGAACTCCAGTGTATGTGTACTTAGAATCAGTTCAGCCACTGTTCATGCTACGCTGCCCATGAATTTCTTAATTCCTCTTCAGAAAATCTGTAAGAAATTACACCTTTGTAGAAGTCACAGGAGCAGGAGGCCTCTGGTTGCTATAAAGATCAATGTGATGTTAAGCTACATCTAGCTCGGGATCCAGGTCAGATTGCAGTGGCTAGCAGCTGTCTTTTATTGACTTAATTAAGTTAGAGCTCAACACATTTGACTTTCAGGGAGGTGGGGTGATACTCCCTTTCCTAATTACCTCATCTGGTGGTGTTTTGGCAAAGGTGATTGTCATGTGAGAAGCTTCAGTATTGTAAAAATTCTTGCTGACCCTGGGTCTGACACAGCTCCTAGCTGAGTGCTATCCTCAGGCTCCCCCATGGTGCTGTCTGATCTTTATCCCACCCAACAATCCTAGGCTGAAAGCCATTTTCTGAGTAACTTTATTAGTCTAGGTAAATCCTTAAAGATCATGGAATTGCCAGTGTGCAAAATATATGGAGCTTATATATTTGTATATATACATACTTTTCTGTATCATCTTTCAGACACAGGTGGGAACTCTCAGTACATTAATATTTTAAGTAAAAACAAATTCTGAGGTAACTGGAGGAATCCTGAGCAGGAAACAATTTAAATGTGTAAGCATCACTGCACATCAAACTTTCCAATGCCTTGAAAGTTGTTTGTTTTCAAACTTGTCTATATACCAGAATTCTGTTAATTGTTTTAAAGAAGGATGACTTCCAAAGTGTTTGAAACAAGGATTATTCCAACAGTAATACATTAAAACTAAGTATTCTTTAGATTTTTGTATATAATTAATTCTGTGTGCTCCCTTTTTGTGTTTCATTTCTTTATGCAGTAGTAAGAGAGAAAAAAATTGGAAATAGTGAAATCAAATCTCATGCTTCAGGGACAACCATAGTACCCACCTCTCATTGTAGCTCACAGCTGAAAACTGCTAATTCCTAAGCTAATCAGTCCCTTAATGCAATTTGGTTGTTCTGGTCTGTGTATTGATTGCTTATCCAACTAGATTAGAGTACCAGGTAAGCAAATAACGATATAAAAAGATCAGTGCTGATACACTTCTGATTTCAAAGCAACTTCATTGACAGAAAAGCAATTTGGTAAACTAGGCACTAATAATCTTGGAGATTTGCATTTTAAACCACACTCTTCGGTTACCTTGGTTTAAGGGCTGATCATGAACTTAAGCAATACTTTTAAAATGTATCGTTTTCACTGATATTTTTCAGGCATTTGAATACAGATAACATTTGATGGTCTCTTGGAGAGATTGTGGGCAACTGGAGTTTCACAAAATTGCAGATGTTCAGTCTTACCTGACCTCCTTCCCTGCCTGTCCCCTCCCCCCTTTTTCCCATAAGAGAAGATTGTCTAAATTTTGATTGGGACAGGACGGAAGTGCTAACGAAAGTAGGTTCCTGCATGGGAGTGATGTAATCTCTGCCCATCAGCTGTACGGGTTTACCTTCTGTGATCACAATGTATTCATCATTTAAGAATTAATTCCCAAGAATTTAGTCCCATATACCTTGGTGTGCTTAAACATGCTAGCATTTAGTTAAATTTAGTTTATTTAGCAAATAGGCCTGCCATTTTAATACTTAGTAATTGAGTAATTTTTATTCATCTCAGCTACTTTGAAATTTGTGAAACTTGCACTACCTTTAGGTAAAATCACATGCATGAAATCACATTGCTTTCTTTGTAGTTAACATATAAAACAATGTAAGCCATATTCCGTTTTCCTGTAAAAGCTAAAATGTTGCTATAAAGTTTACAGAATTTTCTAATTAAACTAAGATTTACCTACACAGAAAGCTAACTGGGAGGTTTGTAGGGAATCTGTGCTGTATGTTACTGTTTTGTTTTTTTTCTACAGATATTAAAGTGAAGGAGCAGTCTGTGGAGAATCTAATGAAGTGAGTCACAATTTTGAAAATATATAGAAACATACAGTGTATTTACCAAGTATTTTTTGTATAAGAAGAAAGGTTTCTTTACCTAAAGTTTAGTACTGAACTTGCCTGTCTCCTGTTGTGCTTCTCAGTGGCCGTGGTCTTTTGTTTTTTATAAGGAGTAGATTTTTTTTTCTGTTCATTACAACAGGACCTGGCTTTACTTACAGTAATTGAATGAATCTGCAGCAGGGCATAATCTTAGTTCCTCTGAGAAGCATTAGGTCAGAATGTGGTGAGCTTTCTCCTTGACGAGTCAGGTGTTTTTTTTTTGTTTTTGTTTTTGTTTTTTTACTGCTGTTCGGTTCCATCCTGAAATAGGTTAATAGCATAAACAGTGTTCTGAATTCATTCTTCCTTACATTGTCTGGAAGCAGTGTGAAGTACTGAATATGTACCACTGTTTTTTAACAGTTAAATAAGCAAAATACAGAAAATGCTCTTATGTGCATTTAACTATATGCAAAAAACACTCATCAAACCTTCATCATCTCTGTGCAATCTGTATGTTTTGACAATGGGGAATATAAATAGTTACTTTATGCACATGCTGTAACTCTGGTCTAAATTAACATTTGTGAAATCTCACAGTATCATTGAGGTTTGTTTATTTTGGAATTTCAAAATAAAGTCTGTTTGATTGAACCCACAGTTGGCAAAGGAAGAAGCATTTCATTTAAGAATATATTGCGAGTCTGTAATAATCTGTCTACAGGGCATTTGACAGGAAAACAGTAGTTTGCCCTTGAGTTTAAGCCTAATGCATCTTTCAGGAGCAATTGCAAAACCTGCATATTGCTTCCAACAGCTGAATTTGCTTTTAGGATTCAAACAATCTGCCAGCTGGAGGACCTGCAATTTCACAGGTGTGGTGAGAGCACAAGAGAGACTTCTGCTCTGTCTTCCTTAAAAATTCCATTCTTGTCTAGAAGGGCCAGCCTGAGAGCCTGGCCTGTTTAAGTTCAATTTGCTAGTTCACAGATTTCATTTGAAATAAACTGTAAGAATGCTGTAAACCATAATGGAATAGTTTATATGTTAAATTACTCTACTTTTCTGTCCTGGCAGAGGAAGGAAGGTTTATGAGCCGCCGCGCTACATGAGCGTGAACCAAGCTGCAGAACAACTTCTCACCATTATTCAAAATAGGAGGCTCCAAGGAGAAGAACCAGGTACTGTTACTGCAGTGTTTTTATCTGCTACTTCTCTTCTCAGTTCACACTTAGTGATGAGTCCCTGAATCTACTTCCTTCCTCATTGCCTTAGCATTCTCATGATCTGTAGTGGAATTGGGCTCTTAATCCTAATAATTAGATGAATTTGGCAGAGCTTAGACACAGTGTAGTTCACTGAGCACAGATCAACATGCACCAGTGGCTCCTGGAGATTTAGTCAAAGCCTCAGGTTGGTAGCCCTGCACTGTTTCTGGCTATCTTGAACTGTGAGCTCTTTGATCAATTCTAGTTGCAGGAGGCTGATTCCAGGCATTTTAGATCAGTCAAGCCTCAAAAAATTCAGCTATGTTCTATTTAAATTGGTCACACTACGCTGTACATGAATACCAGTATCAATCTAGTTACCCCAAAGATGCAGGACTCTGGTTTTGACTTTGAGTTCTTAACACTAGTCAAGAGCTTATGGAAGATGTTTATCAAGACCAGAGGTGAAATCATAGCAGCTATGAAGATAACTCCTTTGTGTCAGATGAATTTCTATTTTTTTGTCTCTACTTTTAAAAGTTTATTTCTGAAACATTCTTAAGATGAAAAGGAAACAATCCTTTCATTTATCCATTATGTAGAATTAATCAGATGCAGCAGTTTCCTCTAAGTGAATACAATTCCTGAATTAGTTTTATTTACTGCTACTGCCTTCCCGCTCTTGCTTATGAGCAGCTCTAGGATACAGCTTTGTATTTTCTTTGAAAAACAGGCTTAATTTTAGGCTACTCCAATGATTAAATGGAGGCATAAGAGCAGGGATAAGATCTGAGCATTCCAAGTACATTTTCCTCTATAATCTGGCTATCACTCAGTAAATTAACCTTTTTATGAGACAGTTTGAACTTGGTCTCTGAAAAAGTTTTGAGAATCATTTCTTATATATTCTTTCTTACAGAAATTACTGAAAACACAATTTGTGTTGGACTTGCACGTGTGGGTGCTCAAGATCAGAAGATTGCTTCAGGCACGCTACATCAGATGTCCACAGTGGAATTAGGCGGTCCACTACATTCCATGATCGTTACAGGCACTATGCACCCTCTGGAATTAGAAATGCTTAAGCTTTTTTCTGTAGATAGTTCCACGTTTGAAAACAATGCATTTCAAAGGAACGCTTAAATAAAAATAGCATTTTTTTTTATTTGATCTCTACATTCCTGACAGCATATAGTTATTTTTCTGAATAAGTAATGCTTAGATTAAATGCATTTAGATTGTACTTAGCTACAGAAGATAACACTGTACGAACATTGACCTGCTTTAACTTCAGACTACAAACTGCAAGATACACCTGCTAGTATGTTTTCATCAAGTCAAGACATCTTCAGAAGCCTCTAAAACCTTAATGCTTTACTTTGTCTAGTTCAGTTCATCAACATCTCCATCCACCTTAGGTTGATCACAGGGACAAGGGGTGCAAGTACAAAACTGAAGAGCTATACCAGATGTCTACGTGGCATCACTTCTCTGTAAAAACAATTAATCAAGTCTATTACAACAGTGCATGCAAATGCATTTTAGATAGTTGAAAAGCAAAATCTAAATATCTAGAAACTCAGCAGTTTTCTCATCAATAGAAATGATAGCATGCATAACCCTATGTGGTCTTTATTCATCTTTACACTTGGAAGAATGAATACAGATGAAAATGTTCTTTCTGTCTAAACGAAGAAAACAAGAACTCACCTTCAGGACAGCTGGTGAAACAGGGAGAGGCTGCACAGAATTTATTTTGGAATGCTGCAAATTGAAATAGATCTGGATTTCTCCATACATTAATGCTGCCACTGAAGTGCTGGACTCAAACTGCAACAATCACAGCTGAGTTCATGTCAGTTCTCAGAAAACAGACTGCAAGAATCCTCTTTAGCATCAGCTATTGGTGGTTGCTATTTCAGTCACACATACTGGGAAAAGACAACAAAGCAGACCTGTAGGCAATTTTTTTTTTAAACTGAAGATTTATTGGAAAGAAATTTGATCCCATATCTTCTCAGCAATATAGGACGTTTAACATTTTATATAGACGGTATTCAAGTAGAAAAGATTACATTAAAAATTTCTAATATTGCACTTGGGACAAGTCATGGCTAAGCTACTACATTAGCATTCCAGAACAAAATCATATACAGTCTTCAGAATCTCAGTGAGCTGCCTTGCATTATTATAAAGATTTCTTAATTTATTTTTTTTTCATATTGTACGGTTCAATTTAAGCTCACTGCTAAGAATAATTATTATAATTGAAAGTTAAAGGCAAGCAATATGCTGTATGCACGCAGTATGTTTTATACTACAAGGAATGATTTTGGCAATTTCTTCATTCACATTATTTCACACTTCAGCCAAAATACTGAAGCGATTCATTTAACTGTTGTACAAGATCCTAGCATACACATGAACTACTTTAATGCGCAAGGGGAGTGAAATACACAACTCCTTTTACACATTTCTGCCAAATTACCACATAGTCAGGAACCTTTTGTGGCTCACTGAAACAGACAAGTAGATTAGCCACTATCTGCACATATTGAAGCATGTAGCCTTCACGTGCCTGAGACAAGAGTACCAGAATTGGTACCTTTTCACATTATGGAAGTCTCTGGCCAATGAAGTCCCAACATAGATGGTCACTACAACAAAGCCTGCATGGGGGAGAAATCCAAAAGAGAATCCCAAGAAGTCAGGGATAGGAATTTTGGTAGAAGTGTAAAGGATGAATTAACTACTGAATGAGGATACGGGATCAGAGAAATGAGCTTCCATAAAAAAAGAATCCCCTTTACTTACTTTCGTAAATGCATGCAAAAGTATGGGGTAGTCAAGAATCAGCAAGTGGCAGTCTGTGGCTGCTGGGGAAAGCAGGACAGGGCTAACTAGTAACTAAAGCTGCTCTGATCTGACATTTAAAAGATTGGTAAGATCTGTTACATGAGTATTGATTAAGGGTTGAATCTTACAGAAGCACCAAGGTTTTAGCAACTGAAGTTTGGACTTGGAATGGGACAAAAACCACAAACTCCACAATTTGATTGCCATCAAGTATTTAAAGGATGGAAAATTGCAGTTCAGGAGCAGCTTCTCTCACCTTCTATCATGTTTATATTCCCAAAACAGGTTCACTGACCAACAGTTAGAGATAACCTTTCCTTCCTCTACCTTTAAACCAAGTTTCACTACATTAAAAAAAACAAAAGAATGTTTAATGACAAAGGTCTATTCTATTAGTAGCAGTAGTTTCAATTTCTATGTAAAAATAGTGTCACAAACTCCTACTAATGATGAGAAACTACAGAAACATCAAGTCATCCTTAATAATGAAGAAGGTGCTATTTTGATTAGAAGTCTCAGACTTGTGCATATGCTTCCAACGGTAAGGTAAGTCCTCATAAGCAAAAAGTGTCAAAAATGACTAAAATCAATATTGTGTAATTCTTAACCATTTTTTTGCAAGCTTTTGCACTCAATTTCCTATATTGAAAAATTTTGTAGCCATACATCTTAGAAAAACCCACCCAAGTACCATTTGGGCAGATTCTCAGTTGGAAACGAGTTGTAGCAGTCGTCGTTTCGTTAAAACAGCTAAAATAGTGGCCAAACCCAACAACTTGGGCAGCATTACAGTATTTCAGAAATACTCAGTCCCAAAAATATGCTGTATAAAAACATTTTAAACCAAATTCTTATCATGGATCATGGCAATTATTATGAATTTGGATGGTGCTTGCCTTTAAAATGATTTTAGTTGATACCCTCTAGACAGTAACTAACTACAACACCAAGAAATCATGCCATCAACCAAACAGCAGCAGTCTATAGGCAACACCGCAAAAAATGAGGTCTCTCACACCTACGATCACAACCGTCTTTTAATTACCTGTTTTGTGGCCATATAGGCAAGTAATATATTAAACCAAAATACTCAAATTTGCTCAACAGATTATTGCACACTACCCCGCCACATACACCTTTCAGCTGCCGTCCTCCACCAGGACCTCCACACTTGGCAGAGCATCTCCAAGGTGAGTGGGGAACAAGCCTGGCTGATGTGTCAGGCAGGAGGCCAGAGGAGATGGATGTGGAACGGTGCAGCTGGCTGAATGGGCGACTGCACCTGCATCCCCAGAACTGAATAGGATTGGAAACTAGCAATATGGATAAAGGAGGATCTGGAGACTGGGAGGGACTAAGTAGTAGCATATGGCTTTGTAGTGCTCTTTTTCTTTACGCCTGACATTCAGTTGCAAGTACAGAAGTACAACCCCAAGCTTCCTACATGTTAATGTTTCTGTATTTCAGCAGGAGAATTCAGGTACCAACCACCAATTTGGCAAGTAACACTGTTATCACATAAATAGTACCTGAATTTTGATCTCTTTAAGAGCAACAGATTGAGTGCAAGAAACTTCATCTCTGTTGTGAATCCAGAAACATCAGTGGCAAGCAAACCACTGACGCAAATGAACCTTCATTACTTTCCCCAGTGCCTTGCACTTGCTTCAAAGCAAGTGCTGTCAGCCTCAGAGGGCCTTGGTTTCAGTATTACTCCCTATCAGGTGCCAGAAAAAATACGTAAAATCCATACCAGTCAGTAGTGGCTATGATTTACCAGACAAATATGTCTTCCTTCTTACTCCACAACGTTTTGTTTGTAAAATGTCCTCTTATAAAATCTTCCATTATTAAGTTAACTACTACAGCATAGTGGAATTACCATCTGTAATACCAAGAATAGCAGATTGTCATTGAAAGCAACACTCAGATCTGAGAGCATAAAATGATTATAAATGCTACAAAATGTGACCACTGACATTTCTGGAAATGGCAGTTTACTGCATTGAGAATTTTTTTTCCCAAATGGAAAACATACAAGACTACAGTGAGATAGTTAAAAACATCTGACTTGTCAATCTGGAAAAGCATAATCCTAAATAGCATGAACAGTGGTCTTTATTTCCATTTCAGGTGTAACAACCAGGAGCACATTTTTAGTATTTGGAAAGGCAAAAGTTATCTCACCATTCACTTTAATAAAAATTACTACAAGCTATTAATATTAAGGAAATTTAGACTTTCACAAACTTAGGCATTTATTTTTTTGCCCCATAATTTGGAAAATAAAAAGCTTCCTGCATGGCTTCCACCACCATCATCTTTGCCCTCAGCTGCCTGTCTATGGACATGGGTAGCATTATGTAACATCTCATTACTCTCAACAGTATGAGGAGACTAAGACTTGGAATTTAATCTAAATCTTGACTAATTTCCACAATATATGTGCAACTAAATATCCAGCTTGTTTGGTAGGAAAGTCTCTTCACAAGGGCTTTGTCTTTTACCTTTAGAATTTTTTCGTGTTTGTTAAGATGCAAGAATAAGGGAAGTCTAACATCTACAGTTATGCAAGTACACTAAAGCGCCACACACATCACTAGTAAATAATCAGACTGCATACAAGATATATTTGTAAAAGTAATAAAACCCTTTGATGCTTCATATTTATGCTGGCAAATACCTCTCGTGATATAAAAGGCACTTTGAAAACCCAATATGGTTTGGTTCATTAAGTTTGCAAAGTACAAACAATTGTACAAACATACAATTATATTGAAGCATGTCAGCTATTGTGACATTAAATACAAAACAAGTTTCCAATTGTTGATAACACTGGTTTTATGGGAATGAGCAGTGGTTTCAGCAGCTTTTCTGAAGACATTGCAGGGTTTCCAGTACCACCATTTTAGTTTCATATTGGAACAAACGTAGTAAGTAAAAAACCGTCAAAAACTTACAAGTTTAGGGGCCACAAAAAGACAAGACCCAAAGTCCATAACATTCATTCCATATTTACTCCTTAGAAATCAACTCCATCCATAGCCCAAAGACAGAAATCTATTCAGTCAATTCCAGACCAGTTGTGGAGGCAGGCTCTGTCTTGATAAGTATGTTGTTTTATACCATTACAGTACAGAAAACTTTGGTCCAACAGCAGTTTCAGAAACTCACTACATGGCTGCAACATCAATCTGTACATAAAGCTGTCTTACTCCTGCCTGTGGAAAAGAGAAGGAGAGATTAAAAACCACAAAACTAACACCAAGACAACTTGAACAATGGTCCCAAACAAGAGTTTGCACAAGTAAGCTGTCCGACAAAAAAAAAAAAAACAAACAACTCAGTATCTTCATTTTTTATAATGCATTCTGTAATACATTCAAGCACATCATTTACTGAGATACCTGGCATTTTGAAACCTACAGACTTTTAGGGAGTACTATATGAAACACATGGTTGTTCATACAGTCAAGAAATGTACATACGTAGGCATATTAACAGCAGTACTGCCCACTTACCTTTTCTGATTCATCCTAAATACCTGTCACATTTGATACTGCCCAAATTCTCTCTTGTACAAATGTAACTGCCTGAAAAGTAAGCTGCTTGAAGCGCTATCAGATTAAAATGGAGCGAAGAGTAAGAGCACAGCATGGGATTTGTGGT